TCACCTTTGTTAGACTAATGAACAATATACTACTACTCACAGTGACATCACCTTTGTTAGACTAAGTAACAATACACCACTCAGTGACATCACCTTTGTTAGACTAAGTAACAATACACCACTACTCACAGTGACATCACCTTTGTTAGACTAAGTAACAACACACCACTACTCACAGTGACATTGCCTTTGTTAGACTAAGTAACAATACACCACTACTCACAGTGACATCACCTTTGTTAGACTAAGTAACAACACACCACTACTCACAGTGACATTGCCTTTGTTAGACTAAGTAACAATACACCACTACTCACAGTGACATCACCTTTGTTAGACTAATGAACAATATACTACTACTCACAGTGACATCACCTTTGTTAGACTAATGAACAATACACCACTACTCACAGTGACATCGCCCTTGTTAGACTAAGTAACAATACACCACTACTCACAGTGACATCGCCCTTGTTAGACTAAGTAACAATACACCACTACTCACAGTGACATTGCCTTTGTTAGACTAATTAACAATATACTACTACTCACAGTGACATCACCTTTGTTAAACTAAGTAACAATATTTTTTGTTATAAATATTCCTGGTCAAGATCACATATGTATCAAACAGTGTCTCTTCAGTAACTAAGTTGTTTTATTTACTTACATTGTTTTAATACAATAAATGTAAGAATAATATTTATATAAATAGGGAATTGAGTTACTGGATTACTTTACTGTCACCTACTATACTCTTTAAATCTAACAAAGTTTACCTGATGTGATGTCAGAAAATTATGTTGCTTTCAAACACACACACACAATTTAACATAAACATTCAGCTACAAAAAGAATGTCTAAAGAAATTTCCAGCTCTAAGGTCTGCCCTCTGTCTTTTAAACCTCCCATTAGATTCAATTGTTCATCTCTATAGAAGCTGGGTCTTTTCACTTCCCCTGTAAAACATAGTCTACTTTTCTCACCACTTTATTTACTCTAGCTATTTAGCTATTTTAAGAGCTGAGCTTCATTGGTGACTGTTTAGACCACATGATGTGACATCACAAAAGGGTGGTAACAAAATGCTGTAGTAATAAAAACACAAGAGAAAAATAAGACATAGCTAATTGTACTTTCAAGGGATGGTAGTTGCAATAGAAAGCTAAATTTTGGGATTTGTAGAAATATTGAAAACAAACTGATACATGCATTTACAGTTGTGCCTTCTTGGAGTTAGACAGAAATGTAAATTTGAACAATTTTTTTTTCTTTGCAAGTTACACCAAAATTTATAAAATATCAGTTCCAAAGTACTTATGACTTGCATCTTTTTGAAACAGAGTTAGAACTATAATTCTAACTTAAACTCTGAAGTACATTTAATACCTGAAAGGTGCTCACACGTCGAGATAGGGTTAAATGAAATTACAGGTAAATTTTAGTACCATATGTAATGGTACATTTTATGACTATGATCACCTATAACAACAGACCAAATGCCAAAAACATTATTGTGTGCGTGTGTAGTGTATATCCATGATCTTTTTTTTTTCAGCTATAATTTAATTGTTTTGCTCTTAAAGCATATCTAGTCTTATACTGTCCGAGTTTATTTTATGGGCATCTCCTATCTTTTACACTGGCTTTGTGGACTACAATTTGGACTATGTTTAGACTTTCTTTAGACAAAAAGGTAAAGTGATAGTTTGTGTATAAAAAGCAGATAAATAACTAGACAGGTCAGTATAGATCTATAAGACATAAGATTAAGATGGAACTACCACATTCTCTACACTCTTAATCACCTAACCTTAAGGTATTTCTCCATCTTATCACAGTCTAACTTATGTACAAGAACCGTCCTGGTTGGAGAGAAACATACCTCTATCCTGACTAAGAAGATATTTCTCCATGTTATCACAGTCTAACTTTGTTCTACAGAAGATGATTCCTTGATCCATGTTATGCTCATTGATAGCTCGAACAGTATACTCCCCTTTCAACAGCTTCACAGCTTCCGACATAGTTTCTGTAAGGAGAACTAGATTATAAAAGATGCACACAATAGTCGTATTATCTCTTGCAAGATCTAGCTGGTTATGTACACTTCTGTTAGAAAGCTTTGTATTTCTCAGCAACTGAGATGATTTCTCACTGGAACTCGCATTCAAGTCATAGTAACTTTTCTTAATTTAAATACAAAATGTCTAATCTCTGGATAAGACTGAAACAAACGTCATACAAATAAAAATGCATATAACATGCAGAGCTTAAAAGAAAATTTATGCAACTTGTTCCATAAAAAAAAAAAAAATCAACACAATCAGAGAAAAAGTTTTTTTTTTTTTTACTTCACAAAGAATGTCAAAGTCGATACAGATTTAAACATCTTTATATTAAATATTTATTAGAATGGAATTGAATAATAACTTAAAATATTCAGTGTTTTCTATGAAATTCATAAAAAGTCTGTATTCATTTAAATTATATTTTAAAATAAGGTCAAAACTAAAGAACATTTAGAAAACATAAATCCCACATATTTTACTTCTTTCAAGTCTTTATTTTTACCTTTTTCCAAAAATTTCAAAGAAAGAATACAGAAAAACCAATACATTTATTTAAACTATATTGTTAGAGATATTTTACATTAAAATGTTTTATTATGTTATTCTCGACATGGCAGTATTCTTTTACTTTATCATCAAATGTTTTAGTTGCAGATAATCTTTTCAGTAATTCTGAAAACCTTTGCACGTCCAGCTTCATTTTAACCTTCCTATTTGTTTGTTTTTAATGCATTAAAAGTAAGGTATAGGCATAAACATGGCTCCATACAGCGTAAGTTTAGATAAGGGATACATAAAGATATCAACTGTATTTAGTTTAGTTTGAAATAACAACAAGCAAATTTGAGTTCCTTGTTTACTAACAAACAACAGCTGAATTCAATAGCACACACACAAAAAAACAATATAATTAACAATTAAATCTTAAACTTTTGTAACTAGTACAGGGGCAACACAATCACCGAATGTTGGATATTCCACTGTTTTATGGCTGATCAAACCGAACATTCTCAACCAATTACGTTATCATCATCACACGAGAACACATGCTCAGCAAGTCAAAACACTCAATATAATTTTAAAACATTCTGCTCATTCGATATATTTAAGCACTTTTAGTAATTAATAAATTAATGCTGCAGTAAAGCAGTCACGACATATTTGTAGAAATTAAGAGATCTGTATGTCTATTGCTTTTAGAATATCTAATGAAATTTACCATGCACTAATTATGGTATAACGTCAGCCCCATAATGAGCTGCATGAATTATACCCCATAATGAGCTGCATGGATTATAACGTCAGCCCCATAATGGGCTGGATGGATTATAACGTCAGCCCCATAATGAGCTGCATGGATTATAACACCAGCCCCATAATGAGCTGCATGTATTATAACGTCAGCCCCATAATGGGCTGGATGTATTATGTACACAATCCCACCGATTCTAACATGTAAAGTTAATTTCAGTGAAAATTCTTCTTGCACAAGTAAAGCTTGCATGTATAAAAACATTTATTGATTTAAAAATATTTCCCACCATATAAATCACCCTTTCAAACCTTTCTTCACAAGCAGTTCTCAGAATTATTTCAGTCAGTGACGTAAGACAAATACGTAAAAAAAACAAACAATAGATTATCAAGAAGTTTCTAACCCTCCAGATAAGTGTACAAAATTGTCCCTCTTGTTAATAAAAAGGTTGACCCTAATTTTCCGTGTATTTATTTGCTCTTGTATCATCTTTTATTTTCTTAGATCAGACATATTTATTCATATTTGTAATTCATTGTTTCGGTTTTTCTTTATTTTTCACAACTCGTACAAAATAATCAAATTTGTGAAAAGCCTTTTTTTCATCTTTCACACTAAATCACCATTTCACGAGGAGTTTCACCTCAGTGGAAATCTTTTTAAAATGACCAACTACGCAAAGTTCATTCTATATAAGATGGCATCTGGTGATCCTAAATTTTTGTGTATTTGTAAAAAATAATTACATCACTTTTAAAACCAGTCTTTCTTCTCTATCGTCAAATAAAGTATCAGTGTTTATCAGATATTGCTGGTATGGTGTCAGATTTTAATATTATTGAAAATGTGAGTAAAAATAATTGAAATGAACATTAAATTGTGAAAAAAGAGTTATCTCAATTATATGGTTTGTTTCAAATTTTATGTTTTTCAATTAATTTTTTTTTATATCATAATAAAAATGTTAAAATTTCACAGAATAATGAACAGGAGAAAAAAAAAAGTAATTTCTTTGTTTGCTTAACTCTTTCTGCATGGGTATCCTTTATATTGTGCAGGTCATGAGGTTTATAGTGACTTATATTCAAAATTTAATTAAATAACTTTTAGTTTACGTTATACCAACTAGTATAGCATAAAATCATAGCTAATAATACATATTTTAATAGCATACAGTTTTAAGTGCGAGACATAACATCTTTTCTAAGCATCCCCCCTTCAATAAGTACGGAATTTAACGTAAATTATTCACTATCAAATCATTATCAATCAGACAAACCATAATTTTTATAGTTTTCAATCTTGTTTGGTTACAGAGCCATAAAATATAAAATCAGACCCTTCTTGTCACACCCACCTGTCACATCCTCTCTTTCAGGATATGTTAATAGTTCTTTTACATTTAATACTATATTATTTATAACCTATAGAGAGCCAAGGTTTTCATCTATCAAATGACACATCACATTGTTTTCTGAACAAAACGAGAAACATACTGATTAGCTTTAATGAATTTGTAATGGCTCTTGTCACATAGTTAGAAAGCCAGAAAAACAGTGACAGTTATGGGACATTGATTTTTGCATATTATTATTGTATGTTTTTTGGTGAATCATTTAATTAAATAAAAATACTACCATTTGTATAAAAAAAAAGAATACTTAATTCTCTCTATGTGGCCTCAGCTGGGTTATTAATGTCGTAGGGTATATACAAACCTAGGCAGCTTGAGTGAACAATATCACAATGATTCATAGCATGATGTCCGAGTGAACAATATCACAATGATTCATAGCATGATGTCCGAGTGAACAATATCACAATGATTCATAGCATGATGTCCGAGTGAACAATATCACAATGATTCATAGTATGATATCCGAGTGAACAATATCACACTACGATTCTTAATATGATATCCGAGTGAACAATATCACACTACGATTCTTAATATGATATCCGAGTGAACAATATCACCCTATGATTCTTAATATGATATCCGAGTGAACAATATCACCCTATGATTCTTAATATGACGTCCGAGTGAACAATATCACCCTATGATTCTTAATATGACGTCCGAGTGAACAATATCACCCTATGATT